AATAACCTTTTATGGTAGTAAAAATAGATGTGACGTGTCTGCTTGGATACCAAACATTATTGCTCTAATTAGTTGAAGCCTCCGACATATGATAATTTTCTTGCCATCCAATTAGTGATCTTTGCTGTAATTTTATCTACTTAAGGTTTCCAATGCAAAACTGTCATCCTTTCAGTAGAGAAAGGAACTCCTAAGTATATAAATGGTAAAGCATCTATTTATAGTACAATGGACTCAATATGTAATTCATTTTATATGTCCCTAACCACTAAAATAGACTTTGTTATTTAAGTACTTCATTTTCATCACTATGAATGACTAACGCCTTGAGTTTTTGTACTATTTTCAGAAATCTTCGAAAATATAAATATAATGTTCGAAATAAGGCACATGTTGAAGGATGCATATGCAATGCGTATATAGTTGATGAAGGTTCATCCTTCTGTTCACACTACTTCGAGCCTCATGTTTACACAAGGCATAGAAAAGTGCCACGAAATGATGATGGTGGTATAGGTGAACAAGATAGATACGATGGTAATCTTTCTATATTCACCTATCCAGGTCGAGGATTTGGGGAACTAAATAGGAGATATCTAACCGAAGAAGAACTTAAAGCAGCTCATATTTATATTTTACTAAATTGCAGAGAAGTGCAGTCATATGTGGAGTAAGATTTCAAGATTTTGTTTACATTTATACATTATAATTATCAAAATACTTACATATTCTTTTTCTTATATGTGATCCAAAGGAAATTTATTGACTCCCTTCATCAAAATTTTCCACGAATTACGGAGCAGGAAGTGGACAAGAAATTTGATGAAGATTTTGCATCATGGTTCACAAGATATGTGAGCACTTGTACAATATCTTTCCATCTGTACTTAGTTCACTTATAAGAAACTCTAATTTTTTTAATTTAATAGGCTCGGGTCCACATAGATAATCAGTTCATCAAGGCGCTTGCAGAAGGTCCATGTCGATCAGTGAAACCATACACTGGTTATAATGTCAACGTCTTAAAATTTCACACTAAAGGTCGCAGTTTTCTAGAGCATCTGATAACAGTGGTGTTTGCATAAAAGGAACCAATTATAGTGCAGACGACAATGACTACTATGGTGTGCTTACTGAAATTCTTGAATTGGAGTACAAGGGGAGTACACCGATCAAAAGAACAGTTTTATTTAAATGTGAATGGTTTGACCCCACACCAAATGCAGGAATGAAGATTCGCCTGCAATATAAACTTGTGGATATCAACCATAAAAGGAAATTGAAGAAGTATGAACCATTTGTTTTGGCAACGCAAGTAGCTCAAGTGTATTATGCTTCTTATCCTAGCTTACGACGTGATAAGAGTGATTGGTGGGCTGTGTGCAAAACAAAAGCTCGGGGTATTGTTGTTGTGCCTCCATCATATTTATCGTCTCCTCTAGTAGATGTTGGAGAGCCATTCCAATGTGACGGAGATGGTTTAAGATTTGATGTGGTGTACGACAATGAAAATGTTGTCCGAAATGATCCAAATGGAGAATTCATAAATTTAAGAGATGAGAATGATGATTTAGATGATGAGACAGAATTTCAATATGAACCAGAATCAGAATCAGATGATGAAAATGAGAATGAAGAGGCATATTGTGAAAGTGGCAGTGAATAGAGTCAAAGTGCTTAGCTCTAATCTCTTCAAATATAAGAGTTAGAGTGACTGAAACGTAGTATATAAGATGATTTTATTTCAATTAGATTTTTTATTTCTTGCTGACAAAGTTCTGAATTTTAAATGTCACCAATTTATATTTCTCTTTTACCAGAGCAACTATCCCTCACTCTCATTTCGTAATATGAAGTAGACCATTCTAGATCTATGTTTTGAATAGTGATGGAATAACTTTATTCCTTGAAGTGTTTATGTTTTTATCTATTGTCTAGGTTAACACATTTTTTTAACTTTTCAGAGGCATCTTGTTCTTGAAGTGATATATCTACTAATTACCTGTTCTTGTTATAATTTGACCAAACTGGCCATGATTCAATTATTATGTTATTATTTCATCCACATGTAACTTTGAAATTGCAGATATGGCACCAAGGGGGGTGGACGAAGCAGATATTCTGGAGAAAGAACATCAGATCCAGTGACATCTCCTCTAATGTCTAGTTTCACACCTGATCGAGCACCATCATTGCCTAAAGTGCTGACACCAATTATGCCGGATTCAGTTGTTGTCAACATATCAGTACCATCTTCATCTGTGGGGATAGAAACACCTAGAAATGACATTGTATCTACAACTTTGTCAAATACAACTGATGATGCCCGCACCCGAATTGAAATCGTCCTGGGACGGTAAGTGTACAACATCGTTTCATTTACATTGTTTTGCTTCGGGCAAGAAAATAAGCCATATTGATTTTCTTTCCATACTATTTTTCTATAAATCTTTCAAAGTTTTGTTGGTTTTCTTAAATTGAATTGATGGGAATGAATTACAGAATTGAGGTGCTCTAAAAATTCATTCTTGAAGAAAGTAGCTTGTTAAGCTGATGTCTACATTTCTCTTATATAAGAAGCAATAGTTGAATGTTGCTACAGAACATGGTAAGGAATCAAAGTTGTAGAATGAATTTCCAGAACTTTTGTTCTTGATCTACATGTTCGAATTACAAAGTTGAATGTGCAGTTCCAAGAACTTTTGCTCTTGATCTACATATTCAGATTGTGTGGCAAAATTATTGTTTACTTTGCTTTCACAAGTATGTTTCTTCTTTTCCCACTGGATCATATCTTACTAAGGGACTAAGAATTGGTAGGAATATGTGAAATTCTCTATAATTTTCTTAAGCTCACTGAATTCTATGTCTGCATTTGAGGTACTCATCTGATGAATTCAAGAGGTTATTTTCTTGTTATTTGCAGAATATGTTTATTTGAAAACTAAGAACATGAACTTCAGAGTACATGTTAATTTTTTTGAGTGACATTTCAGTTTATGTTTTGCTTGTATTACTCGTTGGTACTTCTTGTATAAGGAAATAACACTTCTGAGTTTGAAAATGACATACTTGAGCCTGTTTTTCTAATCGATAATTGTCTTTTATTTTACTCCCACCCTGTAGCTGATTTTCATGTAGACATCAACTACATGGTGCATTTTTTAGAATCTGATTTGATATTAGTGTGTATGGTGTGACATTTCTTTAATCTCAACAGTCCTTATTTCCTCAAGTTTTTCTTATCTTTTGCAGTATATCATTAGAATTCATACTAGAATTTTTTTTACTTGTTCCAGATTAAGCTTAGATATGAATCTACGTACTGAACCCAAGCTTAGTATGAGATCCTTACAGCTAGTCATTTCAAGATGCGATAATAGTAGGATTTTATAATTTATGTCTAATCATGGTCTCTTTGATAATACTTTCATAAATTTCATATTATTATTCCTTACTTCCTCTACCTCTTCAAGCTCTTATATGTCGCTAAAGACACTGATAATACACTTTAGCAACTGCTTGATGTACATAAATAAAAATGAGTATTGAAATAATTACATGTTATATTTATACAAGTTTGGAGCCAAGTAACGATGTATCTCGGGCGATCACAAAAATCTTTAAGGAAAAATTGGATCTCGAAGGATATGATTGGAAGTCACTTACACTAGAGATTAAGGACTTCTACTGGGAGGAGTTTAAGGTAAACTATACTATCTGTTTTTCTTAGTAACTATTGATTTATTACGAAAGTAGAACTGTACAGATCAAACAAGAACAAAAGAAAAACATAGCTAATGAAACAGAACCACTACAACTAGCTAAAAGATAGACTTAGGTTGTCTCATCTGCTACATCTAGAAAAAAAGAATTTTTAGGGATACAAGTTCATAGTTTCTAATAATGAAGCAAAATTTCCTATTGTTATTACTCTTATGAAACACCTCTTGGATAGCTTGTCTAACTATAACTTCAGGTTGTCTTGGTGTGCCTTTGAAAATATCTTGATTCCTTTCCATCCAACTATGGTATACACTACCAGCCAAGACAACTCTCTATATATCTGCTTTGTGACTCTTTCCTTTCATTAAATTACTTGCCCAGTCTACTCATCCTTCTGTCCCATAGGAGCTCTTGTTATGCCCTGCCACTATAACAACTTAGTCCATACGTTGTGGGAGGAAGTACATTGATAAAGCAAGTGCTCTATAGTATCGTTTGTATCTCCGCACATTGGACAACTCATATAATCAACAATGCCCCATCCAAGAAACCTATCTCTGGTGTATAATCGTCCTAGTATAGCCAAGTACATAATGAATGTCCATTTAGGTGGACCACTGATACTGCAGTTAACCTCCTCCATGAGACTTTTTGATAATTTCCTCTAATCATCACATATAATTTTCTAACAGAGCATTTGGCCTTACTTTCAAGTTTAGCCATGTTCATTCGAGCTTCTTCAATATACTTTCTCTCTTACCGGACTTGTTTCAACACCCATTTACTTGTTTTGGTACATCTCTTGATACGTAATTGTGTCTCCTTCTACTATAATATTCATGTACTAATTATACCCATAAATTCCATTTTACTATCGTTTTATTAATGTATTTTATTCATTTAAAATTTCTATTATATCAATTCATGTGATATTTTTCTTTCCCTTTTTAAACAGAAGTGATTCCATTGGAATATGACAACTGAAGGTTCCATAAAGGATTATTTTATGAAAAAATGTTCAATACAATACAAGGGTATGCTATGTGAAGCAAGATCCTCTGAGGAGAAACAAAAAAATATCCCAAAATCTGTTTGGGAGAGCTGGAAGCCTCACTATGATACTGAGAATTTCAAGGCTAAATTTGCATAATCTTCCAAAAATCGACTAAGTGAGAAATGTGGTGAAAGATCTGCTCCCTCGCGCCATACTGGAGGCTCCCGGACTCACTGAGAGCATGCAAGACAACTGGTACAATTATTTTCATTTTGTCAAGTTACAGTTTTTTCAACGTTATTCCTCTAGTAATAACTTTGATGGATGTGATTTCAATTTTAGGCGACTGTTCTTGGACAGCCACCTCATCCACACGAACTTTTGAAGAAGACACATACCAAAAGAAACGATGAGTTTGTGCAACAGTCGGATGTAATACATCAGGAGGTTGGTGCATAAAGTTTGCATGAAATTGGCATGCTTGACATCTTCGAGCATAATCCAAGTAATCTTTTACCATTGTTGGCCAATAATACCCCATTCTTTTTATATGAAAGTGTAATCTAGGCCCAGATTGATGTGATCCACAAACTCCAGAATGTGCTTCTTGCATAGCTTGAATCGCTTCTTCTTCCCCCAAACAACGCAAGAGGACTCCCTTGAATGATCTTCGATATAGAGTATCTTTGTAGTAAAGAAATCTAGGAGCACGACGACGAATTTCGGTTTTTCTCTTTGGATCTTCTGGAAGTATATTATAACACAAGTAATCAATCAGAGCATGTCTCCAATCAACTATCTCAGCTTGTGAGACAGCTACAAGATGTTCAAATTTGCTTTCTTCATCTACATCCGGTGGTACTATCCATTTTTGGCAGATAGTGATATTTGCGCTTGATCAGGCAGAGTTAAAGTTGAAGCCAAAGCGGTTAAAGCATCAACTTTCTTATTCTCCTTTCTTGGAACATGTTGAAGAGTTACATCTCCGAGCCATCTAATCAATTATTGTGCATAGTCATGATAAAGACACAATTCTGGCTTTTTGACTTCATAGCTACCCAACAATTGATTGATCACTAATTCAGAGTCTCCAAAAACTTGTAATTGCAATTGCTTCATATCAACCGCCATTTCAAGCCCAAGTATTAAGGCTTGATATTCTACAACATTATTGGAGCAACATTGCGTTAAGGTGAAGGAATACGGCAAGATCTCCTCTCGAGAAGTGACAAATATTATCCCAGCGCCAGCTCCTTCGCGATGTGAGGCCCCATCAAAATACATCTTCCAAGGCGGTTGAACTTCAACAACCATTGCATCTTCATCAGGTAATTCATCAGTGAGTTCCCAATCATCAGGTATCGGGTGGTCTGCTAAGAAGTCTGCCAATGCTTGCCCTTTTACAGCCTTTTGAGGAACATACACAATTTCAAATTGCTGAAACTGGAGATACCATCTTGCTAGTCGATCATTGAGGACAGGTTTCGACATCACAAATTTGATGGGGTTGGCTTTAGAAATAAGACGGATGACGTGAGCTTGAAAGTAGTGCTTCATCTTCTGAATTGAGAAGACTAAGGCCAAACATAGCTTTTCGATTGGCGAGTACTTCAACTCATTTGGTGTCATCATCCTACTCAAGTAGTAAAGGGAATTTTCTTTCCCTTTGCCATTCTCTTGGGCTAAGAGTGCTCCCACTGATCTTTCTTGAGCTGATATGTAAAGTATCAATGGCTTTCCAGGAACAAGAGCTGCTAAAACTGGTGGTTTTGTCAAGTAAGACTTGATGCTCTCAAAGGCATTACTACAAGCTTGGTCCCATTCGAAAAGAGTGCCCTTTTTCAAGGCGGCTGAATGGTTGACACTTTCCTGCTAGATTTGAGATGAATCTCCTAAGATATGCTAGCTTCCCTTGCAGACTCTTCAATTCATGAATGTTTCTTGGCTCTACCATCTTCAGAATTGCATCTACTTTTACTTGACCAATTTCTATTCCTCGATGTCGTACAATGAAGCCAAGGAATTTTCCAAAGGTAACTCCAAACGCACATTTCAAAGGATTCATTCTAAGTTGATACCTTCGTAGTAGATCAAACACTATCCTCAAGTCTTGCAAGTGATCACATTTTTTTCTTGATTTCACTACTAAATCATCAACATAACATTCAACATTTTTGTGAAGAATGCTATCAAAGATGTTTTGCATAGCTCTTTGGTATGTTGCTCCTGCGTTCTTCAAACTGAAAGGCATTACTTTGTAGCAATAAATGCCTTTAGGAGTGCGAAATGTGATCAACTCTTCATCCTTTGGCGACATGCAGATCTGATTGTAGCCGGATGAACCATCCATAAAAGACATCGCCTCATACCCGGTAGTGGCATCAATCATAAGCTCAGGGATAGGAAGTGGAAATTCATCTTTGGGACATGCATTATTGAGATCCCTAAAGTCAACACAAACTCAAATATGCCCATTCTTCTTCCTCATGGGGACAATGCTTGAAACCCATGTGGGGTACTTAACTTCACGGATAAAGCTAGCCTCAATAAGCCTGTTAACTTCAGTTTCGATCACGGGAACCAATTCAGGCCTAAAACGCCGTTGAGCTTGCTTGATGGGACGTGCACCGCTTTTCACAGCAAGATGATGGACTGCTACCTTCGGATCTAATCCAGGCATTTCTTTGTAACTCCAGGAAAATACATCTTTATACTCTTTGAGTAAGTCAACGTAGGCCTTTTCTTCATCACTCGCCAGTGAAGCATTCACATAAGTGAGTTTTGGATGTTCATCAGTTCCAAGGTTGATTTCTTTCAATGCATCAATTGTCACCTTTACTCCTTCTTCAAGTTCGGGTGGCGCATCTTTAACATCTTCATCTTCTTGAGGTTCTTTATCGTTGAAAGATATATGGTAACACCATGAAACATTCTCCAACTCTCCATCAATTTTAATTGGAGAAAAAATATGCCTTTCATCTTGTGTAGTAACATGATATGAAGAGCCAACACTTTCTTCATCTTCATCACGTTGCTTGGTGTAGACCACGACATGCGACTTTGCCTTTAGTACTTCTCCACATGAGACCACAATGTTCGTCTGCCACCTCATTCTAGAAGGGATTAGACTTTGAAAGTCTTTAAGAGCATTTTGAGATTTTGGTAAAGCAGATGCTTGAATACTCTTGCTATTTCTCCAAACCTTGTTTTTCTTCCTCAATGGCCCTAACCTTTCAAATACATAAATCCTCTTCGTTGAGCTTCTAAGTCGATCAAAGACAGAAGGCCTTTTGTTAGAATTAGTAGACTCATCTTCCATAGTTATGTAGTTGTTGCTTACCCTTTTTATGGAGATGCGGATAGGTGGAGGTTGTTTGTAGCTCAACCCTTCACGTTGTTGCCTCATAGCAGGTTCTGATGGAAGCTTCCCCAATTTTGATGGTTCGTTTGGATCGAATCCATCTTTTGCTAGCAGCCTGTAAGCATTAGGATTAAAACCTTCTTCTGTACGCTTCATTGGGAGTGCTTCATATAGGGGTGACTTAGGGGACACAAATTTTCCGTGAAGTAATGACTTAGGAGCCACAGACTTCCCAAGTAATTTTGTGGATGACTTCACCGTATCAATTCGCCTTACAGGTAGGGTCAACCCTTCCAGCGCATTTTCTCGCAACTCGAGAGAGTGTCCTTTGTCCTCATTTGCCTTTGGGACATAACGAAGAATGGGTGTGACCTTTTTACTTGAAAAGGCACCAATCACGTTAGGCATCTTGTTTGGATTGCCAAGCTTTGAATCTTCCTTGTTTGCGACTTTTGCCTTTCCGACCGCTACCTTAGCCATATTGTTAGGGAATCCGACATCTCCGGATGCAATGGCGTCGACTTTTATGGAATATTTCTTCAAGTAAAATTTTGCGTCAGCAAAGTGAGCTTCAACTTCAGTGAATGGATTATCATCTGCAATAACCCTTTTTGCAACTCCATCCTCATAATACTTCAAACATTGGTGGTAGGTAGATGGGATTACTTTGTTCTCATGTACCCACGGCCTACCAAGCAAAATGTTATATGAAGTCTTTGCATCAATTACATGTAACCACACGGTTGATTGCTACTCTCCGATGGTAAGGTCTATTTTGACGGTCCCTATGGACCTTTGTCCTCCTTGATTGAATCCTTGGATCATCAAGTGACTATCAGTAAGATCTGTTGTTGATATTCCAAGTTCTTTCATTGTGCAAATTGGAAGGATGTTGATTCCAGATCCTCCATCGACAAGGATTCTATTCACCCTTTTCTCACGTGCAAAACCAACCATGAATAAAGGGCGATTATGAAATGTGTCACCAAACAGAAGATCATCGTCAGAGAATGTGATTTTGGCCATACATGCATTTTCGACTCCAGGAGATGACTGTGGAGCACCTTTTGGTGATGGACATGATGGATTTTCAACTTCAGGAGACAGCTTTGGAGCATCTTTTGGTGATGGACATGATGGAGTTTCATCTTTTGCTTCCTTTTCATCGACATTACAACATAGAGCTTTTGTGCCATCGCATGTGAACTTGGTGTAACACCAATTTGGCAAATATTCTCCTAATTTAACGGGTCTCCGCAGCTCTTGGTAGTGGTGCACCTTTATTTCCTTCTTCTTTGAATGCACGATCAAAGTTTTGGTTTTGGGTCTCCTTACCATCTTTTCCCTGACGTGTTGCTTTGTTGACTCCTTATACGAACTCACTTTTCTGTGTCTACGGCGAGTCACAAGAGTCCAGCCCTAATAATCAAAATCATCTACTAGGTCTTCATCTTGTCTTGTTGATCCCTCTCCTACAGAGGCCACATCACTTAGTATAGGAAGAGATAACAAATTATTTACTTCAATGGGCTCGAAGTCTCCAAACTTAATCATTCTTGTCTGATTGGTGTTTGGAATGTCTTGCTCCATATTTCCTTCAACAAAATTGCAGATCATGACCGGATTGGGTAAGTCAGAAGTGACACTGACTTGGTTTGAACTCAATTTCTCATCTTCAAGTTAGCTTAACAATTCGAGCATCTTCATCTTGAACATACTTGGTCAAACCTTCAATAGCTCTTGTCAAGATCACAAGTTGTTCTTCTATGGATGAAGCGTTAGTCACCATTGCGTGCATTACCATAGTAGGTGGCGGAGAGTAGCGTTGATTTTCCTTAACATGAGATGAAAACGTGTTACGCGGGGTAGATCCCGTGCTTAAAACATCATTGTCAGCCGAAGCGAAGGACTTCTCGTATGTAGATGGGCTCAATTGGGCAAGAATCCTCTCGACCATTTCAACAATGTTTTCCTTTGCAGCTTTTGTAGGAGACTTCACATGTTTTGGAGACAAACCAAAGACAGTAGCAGATTCTGACGGCACTCGTGAGGCTTTTTGTCCCAACAATTTGGCTTGGTTCCTTGTGATAGGTCCCATGCTTCCCGCAGTAACATCGATGATGTTTTCAACATCGATGCAGAACTTGGATCCATCAGTTTTTGCAGATACGGATTTCGATGTCGATGCAGATGGAGATTTTGATCCAGATGCGGATACGGATGTAGATCCAGATTTGGATGTAGATGTGTATTTCGAGTTGATCTTCTTGAAAGTCATCTCAGTGTTTTTGAACTTTGGTTGTCTTGAAGAGAAGAGATGAGAGGTAAAGATTGTACCACTGGGGATGCCAATTTGTAAGCGTCTAAAGTTTCAATCCTGAAATACAATAAACAGGAAAAGAAAAATAGCAAGCAAACAATAATATTTGTATTTGAATTAATGCGAAGGTTGTAAATCTTTATAAAATCTCTTAAAAAGATATGTAATCCCCTGATTCTTCTCTCCACAGATGTTCTTGATTTGGCGGAATACTTGCGGCTCAATACTTGGAGCGAAGACTTCTTTGTATGCGGAAGACTTGCAGATCACCAATGAAGAGCAACTATGTATTTCTGTGTGTATGTATGTGTGTATATCCTTTGGTCTTATGAAGACCTCTTTATATAGGCTTAAGCTAGGGCTTTAGGGGTATTTTAGTCCAAGCAATTTTGACCCCTGGGCTTGAAGGATATGAGTTGGGCTCATCTTGTCAATTTAATAGACTGGCCCAAATGTTATTTGGACTTGATTTAAGTCATATAATTCTGACATAAATATTGATCCGACTTTATTAACCAATAATTTGACTTGGTCAACGTATCGTGAATTTAAGATTTAATCCAAATTTAGTATGGATTTATCAATAAAACTTCACTGTCTACACCAGTCTCAATCACCACATTATGCACACAGGTTTTAGTCAATATCTTGAATACATATTAGTTTGATGCACACAAAAAATCATCAGAAGCATCTCTAAACACAACAACACGTGTTATGTATTTATTAACTTGCTAATGGCTTGTATAGGAATCTATAGTGAGCATGGCAGTTGCTGGAGCAATCATAGGTGCAGCAATTGGTGGTTGGCTTAATGACAAATTTGGGAGGAAAAGTGCTATACTCATTGCTGATTTCCTCTTCTTTGTTGGAGCTGTGATTATGGCATCAGCAATGAATTCAGCACTTCTCATAGTTGGTAGAGTCTTTGTTGGACTTGGTGTTGGTATGGCATCAATGACTGCTCCTTTATACATATCAGAGGCTTCTCCTGCTAAAATTAGAGGTGCCCTTGTTAGTACCAATGATTTCTCATCACTGGAGGACAATTCTTGTCCTATCTTATTAACCTTGCTTTCACCAAGGTATGTATACTTGTTCCAACTGAGAACCAGCGTGGAGCCAAGTAGGGCCGAGGGGGTTCAGTTCATCTCCTTCACAAGAAATTACATTATACTGTTTATACATGACTAAAATTGTTCTTTATGTATATATAGTAGATGTTAAACCTTCTATGACTTCTTCGTGTGTTTACTTCTTTCATATTTTGAACACCCTTTAGTGGCCAGGAACACAATCTGGTGCGAAGAGGGGTGTTCTGTTTTGCTGTTCGGTCTACAAAAGTCATAACTCTGGAACAACATATTGTATAAGTTACTTTAAACATTTCTAAGAAACTTATTAGTAACTGTTTCTGGTGCGTATAGGGAAGACAATTTAAGGTGTAGAACATGCATGCGATGTTAATTGAATCTTGTTTTTTTATTGTAGGCACCAGGCACCTGGAGATGGATACTTGGAGTAGCAGGATTGCCAGCCCTCCTTCAGTTCATATTAATGCTTCTTCTTCCTGAATCGCCTCGTTGGCTTTATCGCAAGGTCAATACAATTGTTGTAGCAGATCATCCACTTTATTTTCCAAGATATACTAGTTAAATTCGATTAGTATTTAACTAGT